CTTTTCAAAATCTATAAATACACCCCCTCTTCCTCATTTTTTCACTCATCTCTCATCTCTCAATTCTCATATTCTCTCATTCTTCAATCTTCATTCCTCACCTATTAAAGTGCAATCAACTATTTGACTATTTTTTTTTGGAATTTAATTTATCGTAGTATTTATTTTTTGAAATTTGAACAATTGAACTTCAAAATTGGAACAATTGACGTTTCTTCGTGGTAACATTGGAGTTGTGGAATCATCAAGTGCTCAATTTATTGCCGAATTCGGTACACTCCCTCCAACTCTTTCTCTTATTTACTATTTTATTTGCATATTTATTTGTTTTGTTGCTAGTAGTTAAATTCTTACAATATGTTTAATGCTGCAAAAAGAGTTTGTAACAAGGTTACTAATCGGGGAAATAAAAAAAGAGGTAGTACTTCAGGTTCAGCATCAGGTAGTAATTTAAATACCTCTCCAAATATTCCTGAAACATTACCTGATAAAAATATAGATTATGAACAATTGCATGAAGATTTGGGTATAGATGATAATGAATTAGAAATGGAAGATGAGATACCACTTACACCTAGTAGTGTTGGAGCTGCTAGCAGGGGTGGTAGTCGTGTTGCTAGTAGTAGACCACCTGTGGCCCCGACTAGTAATCGTAGAAAAAGAAGTAAGGTTTGGAAATTCTTTGAGGAAATAGAAGGTATTGATAGAGTTAAATGTAAACTTTGTAATGATACTTTTAAACATAAGACTGGGGGACAATTAGGGGGACTGGGACACTTAGTAGACATATGAGAATTGAGCATCCTATAGAATGGGGATCTGATGGAGATGGAAATCAATCAACTTTAAACCATACTACTGGTGGTCTTGTGAAATATGATAAAATGAAGGATCGTGAGGAGTTAGCAAACATAATTGTTTTGGGTTGTCTACCTTTTTCTTTTGCTTCTTCATCATATCTTATTATGTATATTCAAAGGATTTACAATCATTTATTTAAAGTATCCCTAGAAGTACTTGTAGAGCTGATATCTTTAGACTTCATGGACAATATCAAACATACATACGTTATTTGTTTAGCCACCTTCCTTGTAGAGTTTGTCTACCTCTTCTGATATTGGCCATGTTGTTAATGGAAATGATTATTTGACAATTACATGTCATTGGATAGATGATACTACTTGTATGCAAAAACGTATTATCGCTTTTAGATATGATGAAGATCAGAGTCATACTGCTGCGTTTATAAGTAGTACTATTTGTGAAGTTGTTGAATTTTATAATCTCAAGCAAAAAATATTGTGTATGTCTTTTGATAATGCTTCTAACAATAATGCCGCAATTTCAATATTAAAACTGCATTTGCAACCACCTCTTGATGAAATTTTTCATGTTAGGTGTGCATGTCATGTTTATAATTTAATTGTTAAAAGTGGCCTTGATTTATTTTCAACTGAGATTACTCATGTTAGAAGAGCAGTTGGTGTTATTCAAGGAAATAATAGACAATCTAGAATAAAGGAATTTAAGAATAAGTGTGTCCAGTATAACCTTAAACCCAGATTCATGCCAGACGAAATTGTTACTAGATGGAATTATACATATATATTTTTAAAATGTTGCTACAAATATAGATTCCCAATAACTGAAGTGTCGTATTGTACTGATCCAAACCGTATGTTTACAACTACTACTTGGGAGGTCATTAATGATGTTGTTAAATTTTTACATAAATTTTATACAGCTACTGTTGAGTTTTTTGGAGCATATTACCCTACTGTTACTATGGATTTAGTACATATAGCTGAAATTTCTTTTCTACTCTTTGAATTTAAGAAGAAAGAAAAATATAGGGATGTTGTTGAAAAAATGCAAGCAAAATTCAAAAAATATTTCTTTCCAATTCCTCCGATTTACTTAATTGGTGATGTTTTAAATCTTTCTATTAAGATGTCTGATTGTCACCAATTAATGAATGATTTATATACTTATATGAAGATTAGACCAACTGAAACCCCAGATTTATATACTTGTATGAACAAGCTAAATGAATATTTACAACAATTATGCAATTATTATGCAAATATAATTGATGATGATACTCTTAATGTAGGCAATGTTAATCCCACTATGCATTGCACCACTTCTGCTACTGTGGATGATGAAGAAGGCCTTGATAGTTTTAATATTTTTTCTATATTTTCTAACACTCAAACCAGTAGCAGGAACATTGATGAACTTCAATTCTACTTGCAGAAGCAAAAAGAGCCTCGCACAAAGGAATTTTCACCGTTGGGATGGTGGCATGAGAATGGAAAGCAATTTCCTGTTCTTTTCGCTATGGCTCAGGACGTGCTGAATGTGCCAATTTCAACTGTTGCATCAGAGAGTGCATTTAGCCAAGCAAGACAACAACTTGGAGACACCCGTCACTCATTGGGAAGCAATGCTTTGGAAGTTTTAGTATGTTTCAGAGATTGGATTAGATCGGAACGAAGAAATCAAGGAAGTGAAGATGTTGATAACCCAGAAGACGAGGAACTTGAAGATATATTAACACATGGTAACCCAACCGAATTTAACACTCCAGAAGAAGGTCACTCAGTTCATATTGATTATGAAGAACTTACTAAGGCAATGCAAAACCTTTGAATTTACTCTTTTTTGGTTAATTTACTTGTTAAATGTAAACCTTTCAATTTGTAAGTTTGAATTTTGAAATAAATGTAGCATTTAAAATTTATAAGTGCAATTTTTTTCCATCTTACTTGTATTTTTTATATTAATATAACTTACAATAGTTATACAAAATACAAAAAGAAATTAAAAAATACACTAAACCCGGCCCGGCCCCCTCAACCCGTAACCGGTACGGTTCAATTTTTATCCGGATGAACCCGAACCCGTTAAACCCGGTAAGCCCCAACCCGTAACCGGCCCGGACCATAACCCGTACTGGTACAAAAAATCCCAACCCAGCCCGACTCGGCCCACCCGTTAAACACCCTTATTGTAGACTAAGAAGTCGTGACATTTGCATAGCTTGAGGTTGGGCAGTATAAAATGTATGTGAGGTTATCCCTTCATTCTTTTGCACGACTCCGATTGTACATAATGTAATGAACGAGCTTCCAAAAATACTCTACTCTTAAAAGCTAGCAGTACTTACATTGTTTCCCTTCTTATGGAGTGATTGATGTTGATGTTGCTTCTCTTATTCTTATGTTATCAATGTTGTTGGTACTTCCTGATTCTTATAAGATTCATGATGAAGAGTTAGTCCTAATAACGTGTACAGAGGATACCGACCTTACGCCACTCCGAAAGGCTCAGAATATTATTCCAATGAGTCCAGCATGCATTATATATATATATATATTTTACTCTACCGAGTCACGCTATAGACGGCCGGGTACGACACCTATTGTGCAATCACTGATCAGTTGGGTTTTACCGAGCTCCACGTGGCCAGGTACGATTCTACCGAGCCTTATGATGGCCAAGTACGTTTTTACCAAGCCTATTATGATCGGGTACGATATGATGATGATGCCCGCAGAGGCGTATGTTTTAAAAGTTTATGTGTATGTATATATATGTGTGTGTGTGTGTGTCTGTATCATGCATTTCATGTCAGTAGCCCTCAGAGGTATCCATATGTTACAGGTTGTATATTCTCTATCCCTATTTACATTACTGTTCATACTTATGATTTCCTGCCTTGCATACTCAGTACTTTATTTGTACTGACGTGCTTTTTATTTGTGAACGCTGCATGTCGTGCTGCATGTTAGACAGGTAGACGCAGCTCCCCCACCACAGTAGGCTGCCCGGTTCAGCGGTTATTGGCGAGATCCTTTCTCCGGACTTGCCGTGGTCTTGGTATGCATTTTTGTTATAGACATTATGGGTATGTCGGGACCCTGTTCCGCAATGTTGCAGCACTTATGTTCCTTTAGAGGCTCATAGACAAATGTCATCACATGTATAGTTTGGAATGCCTTGTCAGCTGATTTTTGTTGTGTAGTCTTTCATGGCAACGTGATAGCTCGTACCCTATATATCGTTTCTTGACAGTCTTGTCATCCCATGTTATATATGTCCATGCCATTATCTTTCATTGTTAGTTGTTCATGATCCATATTTACCATTTATATTGATCTCGTCGGACCTTAAAGATAATAAGGAAGGTTATATAAAATGTACATTGGTGCTCGACACATATAGCCCGGGTGCTAGTCATGATCCTCCAATTTGGGTCGTGACACTATTTCCTTTTTGATCCGTTCAAAAAAGAATAACCCCTTTCTAAATTTGAAAACAATTTAGCTTAAACTTTCAATTCTACCCTTAATGAGAAGCTTTTATAACCACACAAATACTCTAGGCCCTTTTTGACTTGTTTAGGACCACAAATTCCAAAAGTCTTCATTTTTCTTAAAGTCCATACCCAGTCAAATAAGTTCACATAAATTAGAACGGAGGGAGCACTCCCTAATATTAATACTACTATGTTTGCTCCCAATTGATCTGATACTACCTCTTTCGCGTGATAGTTAACTAGATTATCGTTGATCAAAACAACGAAAGGTTATATACCATAGAGAGCTGCAAGTCCAAAGTATTGCTGAATTTGCTGCTTATCGTCTAATAGCCTGTTTGGCCAAGCTGTAAAAATAAGCTTATTTTGAGAAGTGTTTTTTTTTAAAAGTGTTTTTCTCAAAAGTACTTTTGGTGAGAAGCAGTTTGTGTTTGGCTAATTAGTTTGAAAAGCACTTATGAGCATCAATTAGTGTTTGGCTAATTAGTTTGAAAAACACTTCTGAGCATCAATTAGTGGTTGACCAAGCTTTAAAAAACTGCTTCTAAGTGTATTTTTCTCAAAAGTGCTTCTCAAAAAAGTGCTTTTGGAGAGAAGCTATTTTTTTCTGCTTCTCCAAAACTGCTTCTGCTTCTCCTCAAAAGCACTTTTTTTCCTTCCAAAAGCTTGGCCAAACACGCCAAAAAAAAGCACTTTTGGCCAAATAGGCTATAAATCTATAGAACCAAATTATACATGTCATTCTACGGATGCCTCATTTCTTCTAGACTAACATTATTATGCACCATCTTGAACTTCCTGTCCTAATAACCGAGGCCGCTTTTCAAAGATTTGGGAAGGCCATACATCAGCTGGAGTGGGATATCTGGCCTGTGGTTTCTTCACAGTAGATGTGGGTGTAGATGTGGACTTTGTAGCATCGGGCGCTAGATGAACCTGGGGATTAGAACTAAAGGGAAAGACATAAGCAGGGTTCATAATTTGTGAGTCTTGAAACGCATGTGCTGAAGCAGGTAATCTCATATAATTATTTTGTAAGGCGAACTCTGGGTGCTGAATTTCTGGAGGAGCTAGATTTAGGTCGAGATTGGTCTTGGCTTCCCTTGCTTTGACCTCATTCTGCAGTCTGCCAATTTCAGCCTCCAGAGCTGAAGTTTCATCCTGAAGCTCCTTTTTCTCCACACTCAGCTGTCAAGAAGGCAGATTTAGGAACATGTATCACACGTGTAAAATCCGAGAAAGCCGCTAATTCAGATTAGAAAAGCATAACAGCAGAAAAAATGAGAAGCTGTCATAATTTTACAATGCATACACTACAAATGAGTGGATTTAACCATCCTGGATGAGGAATGACGGCAGAAGCAATCATTCACAGAAAATAAGGAAGAGAAACAACGTAGAGAATCTCCAAGCTGGCAAAAATCCTGGAATTCAGGAAACTTACATATTGAGATTCAGACAGCAAAGTTGTATTTTCTGTCCTCAGATGCTTGATCTGAGAAAGTATGTCCTTTACAAATCGAGCAGCTTCATTCAAGATGGAGGCTTTTCCATTCATCTGCTCAGATAGTTCTGCAACAACAAGGCATCTCTGTTAAAAAATTGGCAATATCTAAACTGAAAATGTAGAAATATTAAATAGAGGAGCCACGTTTGGGATTTGTCAATGATGAAAATGGTAAAGTTAATAAGTAGCATTCATGACATTACCAAGAGCATTAGCCAAACCAAGGAAAAGCTCATTTAGATGCTCTCTCTTCAGCTTCTCTCTCTCAGCTTTATGTATTCTTTTTGGGGCTTTCTTCTGATTCTTCTTGCCAAGATGAGAGCTGTATAACAAGAGAGATTTACAGAATCAGGACTCACTGTAGAAGTGCCACTGATAATGATCAGTAGAGCAGTCAAAATAAATATATGAGAATGAGTACACAAATTATCACTGTACTTATACTGAGATCTGGAAACCTTTATGCGGATCCAAAGAAATAAGAACAGAGCTATGAAGAGGCAGAAGTACATTCTAAATTTTTGGGAGGAACATTTGCAATTTAGTCAATTTATATTCAAAACTCCAGATTCCATTTTTCCCGTTAAATAGGTAATTCCAGATATCTATTTCTATTGCGATGCTGTGATTAACATTGTAGAGCAGGGTAACAACTTCCAGGTAGTTCATTTGGGGGAAGCTGGGCCAAGATCATGTATTGCTTGAAACAGATCAGGCATCAGTTACGATGGGCTATCAAACTTGAAGACTGAATTCTGTTCAAAATCTTCAGATCCTTCCATGAACAACAAGGGAAAGATCACCAAGACATCAATTCACCCGACAAGCCTAGATGACTAATTGGTCTATAACTTCTTCTACCCAGTAATTCACCAATATTCACCAAACAGTCTACCCGGCAAGCCTAGATGACTGGATTGATTAACTGAGGACGATAGATCAGCTGGATCTCTGTGACAGATGAAAAGGAACAGAACCTCAAATATTATCAACTTTTGCCAGTTAGAAAAAACTGCTGTCTTACTCAAAAGATTTTATTGCTAAGTTCAAACTTGCAGAAAGGACTAAAATTTCTTGCTGAAAATTACAGGGTTTGCAAAGAGAAAGCTAAAATTCTTTGGATAATATAATTAAGCATCCCAATCACTATGCAAACTACCAAGAGGCATATAGTATTTTCCAACTTATGGTGAGATATCTACAAATTGAGTCATTGGGTAAGGTGGCATTGAGCTTTTGCATAACGCAACTGTCTTTTGAAAACCATAGTTTCTGGCATCATCAATCCCGAAAAGATTCACGCCCAAACTAGGCCAACTAACACACAAGCAATTTTTCTAGTTATAAAAAAATTCAAATAGAAAGAACCTCACCCTATCCAGACACAAAGATCACTCCATCCATGGGCATAAAAATCTGTTATTAGGGGTCTATGCTCTTGAATATATTTAATCAGAAGCGAAGCTTCAAATAAGAAGCTGTTTGGCATCAACTTTGTATACAAACCAAATCATAAGTTAAAAAGTAATTAAAAAGTAGGCCACATGCTTATTGCAGATTCCAAAATTTCAAAAGAAAATAGAACAATATGACATTCATGCTACAAAAAGTGATCTTGATCTAAAAGAACTGACCTATCTAGCGAAGTCTCCGCAGCTGTAGTATCCTTTTCATGTATTGGAGCAGGACTTTCTGTATCCATCTCTAATTTCAGTCCACCTTGTAGGTGTCAATGAGAAATGCTACTGGCCGTCTTATGAAAAGGAGAAAAGGGGACAAAAGAAAAGGTATTATGCTTAGGATAAGATACCCAGTAGATCAAAGATGGACGAGCAACATGACCAAGGTGTTACAATCAAGCTGAATTCATTCGAATGTAACTAAATTGTTGTGCCAGCACGGTATACTTCATAAACTCAGGAGAGTGCTGATCACTACTTTACAATCCATTTTCCTACTTTTTGCTATTAAACAGCAGAATACAAGTTGTACTGTTTAAATCCAGCGTCATTCATTGATTAAATTGAGTTAACTCATGAGAAGCAGAATCCTAAAAGAAATTAACTCTTTGTTTCAGAACGTTTTGTTGGAAACAGCATCTAATCCCCATATATATAATATTTATTTGTTCACCAAAGCAAGAACAAAATTTTGTAAGAAGCCCCATGAGCTATGCACTTCTGCCTCTCTCCAGGTAAAATGTGTACGGCACTAACATTCAAAACCTAAAAGAATTTCGTAAAAAAAAACCCAAAGAATCAGCATCCTAAATGAAGTAAATCAGTATGAAAAATGAAAATTAATGAAATTAATAACCAAGGAGATTCATATATGTACCTCTTTGGTTCTTGGGAATGATTTGAGAGTTGCAAAATAAAATTAGGGAAGTTGGAGAAGAGTATGTAAGAAGAGGAAGGCGTGTGGCGAGCAGCTGCTGGTGGAGATTATAAAATGGGGAACACATGAGAAGCGTGCCACGCGAGTTGTGTTCTTTTGTCATATAGCAAAACCGTACACGTTCCACGCTTGCATTTTCCACCCGCTTTGCCCATACTATACAATGTCATTCTTTATTTATGCTCACACGCCCCCTCCTCAATCCTCTCTTCAATTATTAAACCCAACTCCATCTTTATCCTCCTTTCGTGTGATCAATTGTGTCGGGTTATTAAATTTAAAGACCAAACTAAATCAATAAAACTTGGGCTTTCAGTCTCGATTTTTCTCGGGTTTTGAGGTTATTCGGGTTTTTTCGAATTTTTTTCCGATAAAATCTTCGTATAACAAAACATATAACGTATGCTCAAAATATTTCTTTAATCCTAGTAAGATACAACTATATAAAGTATTTTTCAAGAAAATAATACAAAATATGAGATGTGTCATGGCATTATCCTAAAATATTCAACAATAAAGACAATAAAATTATGTAATATAAATATTGCTAATTAAAAAGCCATAATAAAAATAAATATAATCTAAAAGTACTAAGTCATGCTAAAATAAATAGACTAATAAGGGAGTATTAATTACATAACTAAATGCTAAAGAAAAATAAAAATAGGTTATGTATTTTTATCTAAATTATTGCAAAACAAAAAATAGATATTCAATACATTCTCATTCGTAATGTTGAATTGAATGTCTTTTGTTAGTATTAGTATTGATTTGAATTTGTTTTGGGCTTTTGTTAGCATTATTTAATTTACTAATTTTAATGGCTATAAAACTTATTGGAGCATACAAAAGTTCTAAGTCCAACCTTGAAATAATACCTTAAAAGATAAAATTATCAAATTTTTTAAGAAATATTTATAAATTACATCACAATAAGTATATTTATATATATTAAAATATCTTAAATTTCTATATATGCAATATCGGGTTGGTTTGGTTTCGGTTTGACTTTCTTTAATTAAAACCAAACCAAATCAATAATAGTCGGGTTTTTTTTCCAACACCAAACCAAATCAAACCAAACCATAATTGAGTTTTTTTTCTAGATTTAACTCGGATTATCGGGTTGGTATGGTTTGTCGGTTTCCTTTGTACACCCCTACATGTTCATTTGGCTCCATCACAATTTGATATTCCGCACTTAAGCCGGTAAAATAGAGATACATACAAACTAGTACCTACTTAGAAATTAGATCAAGCTTACCACTCCATGCAATTTTGACATCTTAAACATATGTAAAAAACAACTAGAGAAACTTAGTTTAAAATTTTTTAAGCCGGACTATTCAAAATCTATCTATCTATCTATTTATATATATATATATATATATA